AATCATCACATTATGTCATGTCATCAAACTGGCAGCCACGGGTCCAAAGATGGAGACAATGCCGGCAACAATTGCTCCACCAACTCTGCCTTCGTCAACATACTTGTAGAGTTCGCACGTCGGTGGGAAAGACCCAATTGCGTACAAAGCTTGCGCAATTCGTCTCTGTCCTTTCCCTCGAGTTGCGACTGCAACCATTCCCGTCCCTTAACAGCAGCTTGTCTGGAGAACTTGGACGAGCTGCTCAATGTCACCCGCTGAAGGTTGTGATGAATCCTGAGCATGGCGCTGGCCGTGATCCCATCAATGTGATTAACGATCCACTCTTTACATATACACGTGCACGTATTCCCGTGTATCCACCGGAAAAAAAAAATTGTAGCTTGACGACGTAGGCAAATCACAACATCTGCCACCAAGCTTCTGCAGGTGTCGACAACACCCTCACCAGCTCAAGCACTAAGTCACTCTTAGACAGTTTCACGTCAGAATCTCCAAGTCGAATTGACACACCAGCTGCTATGCACAGCTTGCGCAGCTCTTCAATGCTCTTTCCATTGAGCTGTGACTGTAACCTCTGCTGACCTCCAGTCTCGCATTCCATCCGCAGATTTTGCAAAGCCCGCTGCAGCGGAAGGCGACCACTGGAGGAAGAAGACGAAGCCATGGCTATAAAAAGCTACACAAGATTTCGAAGGTCCAACATGATTTCATACGGTTGAATTGGTTGCGCTGGCGGGATTCGAACAACTTCCGGTCTCGCGCCAACGCAACTGATCTATGTATAAAGTCGATGGTACCTACGTAAGATACGTTTGTTTCATGAGCTCCATTGATCGCACGGTTGAATTGGCTGTGCTGGCGAGATTCGCACAACTCGCGGTCTCGCGCCAACGCCACTGATCTATGTATAAAGATACGTTTGGTTCATGAACCCTACCGACCACACGGATCGGATTCTGCCGACCGTCGATCGAGAATAAGCGAGTCCACTTGCCTTCGAGCCATACGACACAAAGGTCAATGATGCTGATCATGTTAAAAGCTGTCACCGTCATGATGATGCCAACAAAGGAAAAAATTCAAGCAGCTGTAACAACAAATCTGATGCTGATCATGCTAAAGCCGTCACCGTCATGCCGATGCAAACGACGGAAAAAATCCAATCAGCTACAATAACACATCGAGTCAGCTGGGTCTATTTCAAGCCAAGTATACAAATACAACACAACCTGAAACACATGTCACTCTCATGCCGTGAAAGAAAATATGACATGACGTCAAATATGAAAATATGATGTGCCATGAGATGATGATCTCACGATACGCCCGTGATATGCTATTGTGATCATGAGCTAACGATGAGGTCGATGACGATTGCAATGACGTAGCTGCTGGTAATGATGATGATGATGATGATGGTGCTGACGACGATGATGATGATAATGATGATGATGATGATGATGTGGATGATAAGGATGATGATGATGATGATGATGCTGATGATGATGATGAAGGTGATGATGATGATGATGATGATAATGATGATGATGGTGCATGTCGCCAGGCACGGTTTACACCACGCGTTGTTTACGCCAGACGAAGTAACCATGGAAAAGTTTACACCAGACAAAGCCGACAAAGGTTTACACCAGAGAAGAGTTTACACCAGACATCGATTACACCAGACACCGTCTATACACCAGACACGGTTTACACCAGACGTCGTTTACACCAGACAAGGCCAACAAAGGTTTACACCAGAAAGAGTTTACAGCAGAGACAGTTTACACC